GCTAGTAGGTTGGAGGCCTTCGCTAGTAGCTGGGAGGCCATCGCTAGTAGGTTGGAGGGCAGAGAGGCCTTTAAATAGTCCTTTCACCTGTTGTCACAGCTCCTTAGGTACTGCATGGTCCTGAAAGCTTTGACAATTCCGACTTTCCGTGTTGGTAAGTCATGGCTAAAGTCGAAGGCAGTGTCCAACCAATGGGTTTCAGACTATGTTTTTTCTTTACCAGGGATCTTTGGGGGTAACCCATTCTACTAATATAAAGGAGAACTTGAGATGAGAACTTGGTGTGACCTCATGATCATCACCGTCCCACCGCCAGGCTTTCGTGCCTACGGCTCGAGATGAGGGCCTCATAAACCTACTCAGAGCGGCTCAGCACAGCCCAGGCATTTCGCGAGTATGTGGCTTTCTTTGGCATGTTTCTTGGAGTCCCCAGGGCTTTGCAGTTGTTCGACCTAACCACCTGAAACGAGGGAAACTTAGAACCCTTTTGGAACACCTTGTGTTGATTCGATACAGTCTTTGAAGTCTTTTTGGGTCGCGCTACGGCGACCAGTGTGACCAGCTTCTCCATGGAGGTGATTGGCAAATATCTCACTCTTAAAGAACAACAGCGGAGTCCTTCGATGTCATTCGTCTCGAGGTTCAGAAGTTGTTTCTCACTAGACGTCATAGAATCATAGATGAAGCCCCTAGTAGCGTCCTTGCTCCTAGTAGCGATGCCACGAGCCCCTAGTAGCTTCTTGTTCCTAGTAGTAAGGCCAGGAGCCCCTAGTAGCGTCCTAGATGAGGGGTATTTGAATAATTTTGAATATCGTTTTCTTGCAAGCGAACTGCCGGCTCCCTTTGAAAGGGATGCGTGGCCATTCAGTCACATTGGGCGAACCGAAGCATGACATGGTCTGGAAGCGTTTTTGAGTGCAGATGAAATCATTGTCGATCCAGCACAAAGTCTACACTGCAATAAAGGCCTTCTGTTAGTGCTGTTTGCAAGACTTCGCAAGACAGACTGAGTTTTGCTTTAGTTGAACATATTGATACCAGCAAAGGCGGTTGCCGTGTTCAGCGCCGAGAGAAAAGGGGGCCTTTGTTGCCCATGGATTTCGTGGCAAGGCAGCCTGAAATCTGCGATTCGGCTGTCAACAGGAAGCTAAACCAAACACAAACACACACAGCCTAGCGTCTTTTGCGCCTTGTGAGGAGAGAACGGCTTTGAAGTGCTGCCCTAAATACCAGAAACATGGTAGATACTGGACTTGCTTGCCTGAGCATCATTGAAGCCATGTGTTGAAGATTATACACTCAGTTCTGCTACCATCACTGCAATTCTGCAAAGATCTCCAAGGCTTTCAGGGATGGCTACGTTTGGGCGGAACACAGATCTTTATTTGTTTGGCTTGGTTTTGAGACTATGACACTGTGACTCCTTGGACTGCGGCGGTGTTTCTTGAGTCTCTTTTGTAGAGTTTGTGCTGATCCCCTAAACCTGGTCAGTACCCTGGATCTTGATTTGACAAGGAGGTGAGTCTTCACCAGAGAGCCGGGTCGTTGTAAGGTTGAGTTGACGGTGCTTTCGCGTTTTAGAGCTTCTGGAAATCTGAAGTGCCGAGTGGTCGACAACATATCCTGGCTATGACTGAAAATAAGGGTTTCACCTACAGTATCCAGTATCCAGTGAAAAAGCAAGCAAAAAGCCAACCCCTTACCTGAGATCTTCCCTTTGGGATCCTTGGGACTGTTTCTAGTTCACACTCCCAAGAACTTCAGACAGTTGGATATTTTGCCTGAAGCCTCAGCCGAGCTCCTAAAGAACGAGTTATCCAAGCCACTTCAACCTTTTGTTGCTGACAGATGCTGCAACCTTTGAGCACCTGAAAGTATGAAGAACACTAAGAGGAATGCAGTTCCTTCAACATTGAAGTGACTTGAAGTGGCATAGCTGGTAGAAGGCGCCCCCTATTTCTTACCTCGAGTGACTCTCACGGCATCCCTTTCACGAAAGCTGTTACGTACAATATGCATACACAGGTTGACACCTGTTGTGGTTTGTTTGGAAAGCCTTCTTTACACAACTGGTGTTGGGATGATATATAAGGTACGGTATATAGATTTTCTGTGTGATAGATGCTAAACAGACCTTTCAAGCAGAAGATGAGAAGATAGCGTTTGTCAAATTAATTGCCAAGCTTCTGTTTGATTCAGCGCACGGTCGCATGGCTGCCGGAAGAAGCCTCTTTTGGGTGAGGGTCCCAGTACAGTGTGTGTCCGATCAAGGTGAGAAACCAGGTGCCACGTAGATTGGCTTCAGTACTACTTGATCATGCCGGGCCAGTTGAAATAGCTTGGACATGTGGACAACAGACCACCCAGTTTGGGCTTGAACTGCACCATGTCCAACGGTCTCGGTTGACAAGGCATTCTTGTCACCGGATGAATGGAGAGTGCAGTGCATGTATCTGTCAAGGATAAAATCCTTTGTAGTTCGTGGAACGAAGGACTTTCTCCTTTTTTGGATTGTCAAGGGGGGTGCCCTGGCTTGAGCAAATTTTGTTTCAGCAATGCCTTCCAAACATCACTCCTGCAAAACACTGGGAATCGTTTCACTGCGAATCGTGTCACCTGTAGTAACAAGAAGCTTGTTAGTATGTCTTTGAAGCTTCTTAGTAATAAAGCTTTCTAGTAACTAGAAGCTTCCTCTGGTAATCGGTTCAATGCCTTCCAAGCATCACCCCTGCAAAACACCATGGTCTCTTGATTGATCAAATCCAGGCACTTCTTTATTTTCATAGAGCCGAGCAGCAACACAGTGCTGCTTGACACAGAGGAAGTGAATCTGATGACTTGGACCTCCACTACGTGTCCCGTCGTTGGCATCCGATGGGCGATGAGAACTACCCAAGATACCCAAGGTCGGCTTCACCTGTGTGCTGGGTCAAGTTCAAATTCTTACTCAGGCAGGACACGCACACAGACACAAACGGCAGCGGAGTCGGAGCTGTGGCTGGACGCAGCAAACAAGAGATTGAAGGAATCCCTCTCCTGATGGGAAACAGAGATACAGCCAAAGGGACTTGAGGAAAGGCTGGAATAGATGACATCAGGCACGTAGGTTTGTCGCCCACCAAGTGGAATCGGAGGCTTTGATGTGGAGAGGAACTGATTCAATATAAGTTCAACAAAGCAGAGGACTTTCAAGTTCTTCAGAATCTAAGATCCGACTGTGTTTATTTGTCGGACTTTATACCGAGATATACCGAGTACCTTCTTTTAGTGTGCCGCCACATCCATATAACTGTAACTCCTTGTGAGAACACGTGGTACTCAACATGCCACACAAATGCATCAACGAGCGCAGAAAATGGACATCATCCTGTTAGGCTTCTCAGAGATTGTGTTGACACATCTGAGCAAGTGAGGACTTTCGTGGCTTCTAGACTGATACTGCTGATATCAGGATGTGACCGATACCGCTGTTGTCATGTCGTCAATCTACTATCCAAAGACTGCTGCACTGGCTCGCAGATTTCCCAGTTCTCTCTTAATGCATACGACATGCGCCCCATGCACAGCTGTATGCAGAGACAGGCAATACGAGCGATGTTGCATGAGCAGGAAGGGTTTACCTGATGACGAAGCACAGGCATACAACAAACACCAACAAACTTAAAGTTGTTGGCATGTGGGGCAGAGGAGCCAATCTTTAAGAGCCGCACGACTCTGTTTTGGCGACTGCGGCGAGTCCCGGTGTATGGGGAAGCCACACGACGACGAGGCAGACCGGTTTGCACTGCGCTGCGGAGATGTCGATCAAGTTTGTTTGTCTTGTTGTTATATCTTTTACACCAGCATGTTGGACTACGTAGGTTTTACAGGGGGGGACCACAAATGACCGTAAGGCTAGATCCTAAACGCTTGTGGGAAGGAGAACCTTTGAGAGTTTTCAGGACTTGTGCGTGTCAAAGTGCTGCAAGGATGGGCAAGACTGTGTTGGTTGGAGCCTAGATATGAACAGCTGAATCAGATGAATAGCAAATTTTGCGATGATCATTTTATGAACAAGACCTGTTCTCGATTCTTCAAGCGAGACAGAAACCACCCCAAAGGCCCCGCACAAACATATCGGCAAGTCCAGCAGATCAAGGACCACATCACCCAGTGGCCGTTTTTCCCGAGGCGGCCCGCAATGGCCTCAAGGTCTTTGTCGGTGGCCTCCCAGAGCGCACAGCAGAGCCACTTGGATGTGAGTGTTCAGCGCCTGGGGCGCAGAAATCAGGATTTCGGTACTTTTATGCCTGGTGAAAGCAATCAACAAAGGGAACAGTTCTCATTCTCCATATGAGGTTTGGGTACTTCCCCCCACCCAACAGTTGTGGACGTGTACCATGCCCTGTCAGTAATTAGTAATCCAAAGGGCTATTTGCCACTTTTGTGACTGTTGTGAGAGGGGAACGGGGCAAATGGAACAGACTTCTGAGCTGAAAGACACCTTCAAGTCATAGGAACTCGTGCACAGGAGCAATTACCCCTTTCCATCGATGGAGCATGCAAGAGCTGCGGTTGACTGAGGCACGCCTTGGGTCAGCACTTTGCCAAGCAGCTGAGCAGATCTGGGATGTTTGCCTATCGAGTCCGACCTTGGATGGGTGGCATAAACAACCGTACGGATTGGAAACCGTACCTTTTTAATTTATTTTTCAGGCTCTTGATGTTAAATGATGCATTGACAAACACTCTTTGTTTATATACACATGTTTTTTGGATGTTTTTTTTGGCGTGACACGGCCAATGTCCATGCGTGTAGCTTCATCTCAGATGCACTTCCTAAATCGAATGTCCAACACGTGTGTGCATGGTACTTCATCTTAGATGCACATCCGATCGAACGTCATTAGCCATGCCAAGTGCCATGCCATGACATGACCAACGTTGAAAATGTAAAGATGTTTCCAGTTTTCAGTCCCTGGGCATAAACAAGCGCAAGCATTGTTCAAGAGAGTAGAGGTGATGCTTTGGAATACGACTGTTGATGGAACGCATCCTGCACCAGCTGAAGTCGTTGAACCACTCTACATGACAGAATATATAGTTATTCCAAAGTGCAGTAGTTCTTCCTTCAGGAGAGGGTTTTGATCTGGGCTAGCCCGATACAAGATGCGCCTACCTCTTGTGGCACCCTTGAAAAAGGGCAAGCATATGATTTGCACATACTTGCACGAATCAAGGTTTTCCAATACAGCAAACGTCCACATTTGCTTTGAGCAATCAAGATGGCCCAATCACTCAGGGTACAGTGGCTGCTATTCGTTCATATTCTTTTAGGTCCATGTTGGAACGAGGATGTCAGATTTGCAAATTTATTAGCTTCACACTCTCCGAGGGCTAGTACAAGCATGCGTAGCCAACTATTGACTAGCGTGCAAAATGTGAGGGGAACATAGGGGAATCGTTTTTTTGTTGCTCTTGAGTTGAAGTCACTGTGAACACTCTTGCTTTTATCATGGAAAACTCAGCTCTGAGTGTGTCATGCAATTTGCACTATTGGCATTTTCACATTTCACTGAAAAACCAGAACTATTTCTGGGTTCTGGACGAACTCGGACATTTAAAGGTGGACATACCCCAAGCCTAACTATTTGATTGCATGGCGGCTGCACACTATATCGTTGACTTCATGCCACCGAGCGCAGTTTGCACACCACCCGGCTCATAGGCACCCAGACGCACCGTGTTCAGGTATGGCCATGTGGAGAACGTCACTGTTTGCCCACCCAAGGAGGGTGAGGTCAAGAAGGCGCCCTACGCCTTCGCACCTTGGAGATGACACCCAGACACTGGTGGGCGAGATGACTTGCAGGCTGAAAAAAAGCTCCAACATGAACCAAATCTGATCCGTAGGTTCTTTTTTAATCTTCTTTAAAGGTGCCCCGGGTCTTTGGCGTGTTTCGCACGCTAGGCCTAAAGATGTGTGGTGCTTTCGCTGTCTGGATTTGTCCTGGCAGGAAGGCATGTGACAGACATTGAGGAACATTAACTTGCCGCTCCATGCTTTCAGGGCTTTAGTTGGCAGGATCGCGATGTGAAAGCTGTGGTCAATCCCTCAGCGTGGGCCTTGACATGGAGGACAACCAGTTTTGGTAAACGTGCCCATGTAGCACTTTCAATGCCAAAGTATTAGGAAGTGACCTTCCAGCAGGCTATAATGCGCAAGTTTGCAGGGAAAAGGCACTTAAGCCTTGCTGAAGCCTTGCAGGGAGATACTCATGACATCCCATGGGGAGTGCTTGAGGAAAAAGCTGAGAGATCTAGCACTTCTGTATATAGTAGTATAGTAGTCAAAGGGCTTGGCTGCCATCGATACATCATGGCTGCTTCGACAGATAGCCTATTAATTGAAAGGGTTGGTGCTCCCAGAACTTACGTTTGACCCCGCAGTAGAACCCTTTGTGACGAAGGGACTCAAACTGAAAGCTGTGAGAGTTTCTATGATCAGCTGAGACCGTTTGACACTTGAGCGAGCGAAAGTCTTGGCCAGCTTCCACGTGTGCCTCCCCTTCTGATAGACAAGCACTGGGTGCTTGGAGGCTTTTCATGTAGAGATACATTAATCTTTGCCATGGCTCCTGGTTTAGGTGACGTTCAGATTTGCCGCAGACGCTGATTGTGCTGTGGTAGCTGCCTGGTTGCAGGCTGAGGGAGTGGAGTGTGGAGACGTCCTCTGGATCTAGCAGAAAACGGGGATTTGTTGATTGAACTCAGCCGGCCAAGACAGGGGGCTTTCCTCTTCTGTTTGGCTTCAATCAGCTCCTGTTGCTTAGTTGGAAGTTTCAAGATTTATGAACTCCTTCCTGTCGGATTCTCAGTGGCCTAAGGACACACAAAACTTTCCGGGTGCCAGCCGCCCACTGGCCATGAGCTTTGCTGCCAAGAAGGGCTGGGAGCTTTGGCGATTCAAAAGCAAGCAGTTGCATTGCAGTATTCGAGAGCTAGAGTTTTAAGTCACATCGTCTTCCAGCGATCCCAGTTGGTCAAGGCCTCCATGTGATGACTTCCTGGTTCTGCTGTGTTTAGCCTCAAAATGCTAGCCAGGGAGGCTTCTTCTGCACGGTCATTGCCGAGCAGCTGAATGGATTCATTCTTTCAGAGCAGACAAGCACAGGGATACTCAGGGATGCCTTTGCCAATCCACACCCATAGGGCCATTGTGGGCCATTGGCCCATGGGTCTAGTTCAACCAACTTATTAAGACCAAACGAGAAGAGCCGTCCCATCCCATCCACAATTCGGAGCTTAAGGATGGCTACAGAGACTCTGGGCTCCTTGGCTGGATGGATTACAGTAGGAGAACTAGGATCTAATTAAAAGAAATTAGTTAAACACCATCTTCTTTGGAGTTACGAATAGTAATGACCTCCAACCTAATAGCGATGGCCTCTAACCTAGTAGAGATGGCCTCTAGCCTACTAGAGATGGCCTCCAATGCTTCTTTCCATCTCTGGTTGTGTTAAAGCAGAGGAGAATTCTCTGGAACATAGGGCAATTCTGCCAGCTCTCATGGCAAAGATCGCATCAGCGAGTCTCTCTCTCTCTAATATACATATATATATATATGATTATATATGTTTGTAGAGTTTCTACCTGGTACCAACGAGCAAACAGCTCGAACCGAACAGCTCTTTCAGGGAGATGCAAAAGATATGTAAATATGTAAGAATTGTCATTGAAGTAAGTTTACTGGAAGATGTTCTGCATTGAGTGACAACGTTTGCCTGAGATGCTTTGCTCCACAATCTGTCGAGGTCTGCCGATCCTTGCAAAATCATGGTCAACGGCCCGATCCTCAGCTAAACAAACACTAAACTTGATGGACGCCGGATAGGATCCCTCTCCAAGGATATCCGTAGAGATCCCACCTGCTTTGATTTTCTGAGCAGTCTACTGTGCAGCCGTTCTGTTC